CAAAGACATTTCCCACCTCTTAGGCGGGGATGTTGAAGTGACCTACAAAGCAAGCACTAACAACACAATTCGCGTCATGACTCCAGATAAGGATACTCACTCAACTCTGAAAAAGTTCCTGAGCGAAAATAACCATCGATACCACACATTCCAGCCCCGAGACGAGCGCGCTTATCGGATCGTCGTTAAAGGCCTCCACTTCTCCACCGACCCGGAGGATATTAAGGTGGGTTTCAGCAGCCATGGACACAAAGTCAGGGATATACACAATCCTATGCAAAAAGGTACAAAGAAGCCACTAAACATTTTCTTTATTAACCTCGAGCCAGCCAAAAACAACAAGAAGGCCTTTCAAGTCAAGCGGCTATGCAGCACGGTGGTTACGGTTGAGCCACCAAAAAAATTCGACGATGTGCCCCAATGCCATCGCTGCCAGGGCTTCGGTCACACGAAACGGTACTGCCATCTGGAGTACAGATGCGTAAAGTGTGGAGATAGGCACCCATCGTCCGAATGCACCAAAATTGCCAGTGAACCAGCAGTCTGCCTCCACTGCGACGGATCACATGCGGCCTCTTACAAGGGCTGTCCAGCCTACAAAAAGGCAAAGAGCACGTTCGCCCCCAAGCAGGCTGCCCCAAGACGCCAGCAACCTCAATTCAGCAAAATTAACCCTAACATCAGCTATGCTAGCGCAGTCAAAAACGGAGCACCACAGTTTGACTCCAACCCCAATCCCGATCCCAGTCTTTCAAGTAATCCAATGGACGCCCTAACGGCTAGGATGGAATCTATGTTTGAGCGCATGATGGAGAAGGTCTTGAGCCAAATAGCCCAAATGATGGCCACCGTTTGCAAATCCTTATGCATACGCAATTAAATATAACCATATGGAATGCTAACGGCCTGGTAAAAAGAAGGCCAGAGGTCGAGCTATATTGCAAGACCCTCCAAGCAGACGTTCTCCTCATATCAGAAACGCATTTTACCAACAGATCATACTTGACTATTAGAGGATACGACCTCATTGCCGCTAACCACCCGAACGGTAGAGGTCGCGGGGGCGCGGCCATCCTTATTCGCAGCTGCATCAAGTATGAGGCACTTCCAGCCATGTGCGAAGACTGGGTACAATGTGCCCAAATTAAAATCTCCACTACCAACGGTGACATAACAATCGCCGCAGCATATTGCCCCCCAGGCACAACATCCACGAACAGGAATTCGGCTTGCTACTGGATTGCCTCGGCCCCAAGTTCATAATCGGAGGGGACTTTAATGCTAAACACCCCTGGTGGGGCTCCAGGATTACGAACCCAAAGGGCTCGGCCCTATACAGGCAGATTCAGTCCCGAATCTTGAGCTGTCACGCAACCGGTGCACCCACATACTGGCCTACGGATCCCCACAAAATCCCTGATGTGCTAGACTTCGCCATCTCCGGAGGACTGGATTCTGCCGGAATTCAAGCGAGAGAAGTAGAAGACCTCTTCTCGGACCACAGCGCCTTTGCCGTGTCACTTTTCACCCCAGCCTTGCTCAGGTCAGCCCGCAAAAAGCTGATCTACAAGACAACAGACGTTGACAAGTACCAATCCTACCTGAACAACGTTACCGACCCCAGCCCGACACTTGACTCCCCGGTTGACATCGACACCGTTGTAGAAGAGTTAACAGCCCATATTCAGGCGGCAGCTTCTGAAGCAGCACCAAGGCCCTCCAACCGCCCAAGAGCCACTGACAGGGACATCCATTTTTGGAGCCCAGAAGTCGAAGAACTCAAACTTGAAAAGCGACGACTCCGAAGAGTGTGGATGCTCTCGCGGAATCCTTTGGACAAAACCGCCTTCAATAGAGCGACCAAATGTCTGACAGAAACTCTGGCAAGACTAAGGAAGCAGGCCTTTGACGGGTTCGTCGAACAACTTGAGCCAGGCGACCCTCAACATAACTTATGGCGAGTCACCAAATCTATCAGACAGCCGCTGAAAAGGATCCCACCTGTACAAAGAACCGACGGCAGCTGGTGCAGATCGGAGATGGACAGGGCCAACGCTTTCGCCGAACACCTCGAAGGTGTCTTTACGCCTTTCGATCGCTGCTCACCGGAGGACGCTGCTGAAACTGCCCGTCTGCTAGCCGAGCCTTCTAGGGACGCCGATCCAATACCACCAGTGACTGAGGAGGAAACAGCTGAGCTTATAACCATCATGAGCAACAACAAGGCCCCGGGCGATGATGGTATCAATGCAATTGCATTAAAAATGTTACCACCTCCAAGCATTCAGCTAATTACGAGGATCTATAATAGATGCTTGGAGATAGGGTACTTCCCGTCCACATGGAAACGTGCCCAGGTAACTATGATACCTAAGCCCGGGAAACCCGAAGCAAACCTTTCGTCCTACCGACCAATAAGTTTGTTACCAACGCTCTCCAAAATACTTGAACGAGTGTTTTTAAGCAGAGCACTGCCAGTATTTGACGAGGCTGGACTGATCCCTGACCACCAGTTTGGCTTCAGGCGGCGACACGGTACGCCAGAGCAGTGCCATCGGGTAGTGCAGTGCATCCTGGACGCGTTTGAAACCAAGAAGTACTGCATGGCCGTCATGCTGGACGTGAAGCAGGCGTTTGACCGAGTCTGGCATCCCGGTATTCTATATAAATTAAAGACTGGCCTACCCCGACCATACTTCCAGTTCCTAAAGTCGTTCTTGGAAGACCGTAAATTTGCTGTTAGATGTGGCGAGGCCATCTCCGGTATTAGAGAAGCTCACGCTGGTGTACCCCAAGGCAGCGTTCTTGGCCCGTTGATGTACAATGCTTACACGGCCGACCTCCCTGTTCTTCAGAGGCCTGACCTGCTCGCAGCAACCTATGCAGACGACACCGCCTTCCTTACCACCGCCGATAGCGCATTGGGGGCAGCCGATACGATGCAATTGCAGCTTGACTTGCTCAGCGACTGGCAAAAGCGATGGAACATTGCCGTCAATAATGAAAAGTCCACTGCCTCCACATTTTCTCTCTGCAAAGGCAACTGCCCTCCAGTTAACCTTAACGGCTCTCCAATCCCACAGGTAGACAATCCCAGGTACCTGGGATTCACCCTAGACAGGAGACTCACCTGGAAGCCCCATCTGATTAAGAAGAGGAAACAGGCTATTCAAAGACTTCGATCCTTCTACTGGCTTATGGGTAGGCGATCGAAGCTGAGAACTTCCACTAAACTCCTCATCTACAAGGCAATAATACGCCCTATCTGGACGTACGGCATACAGCTCTGGGGAACTGCGAGCAAGACGAATGTCCGAACTATGCAAGCTTTCGAAAATAGAGCCCTTCGAATCGCCACTGGGGCCCACGTCTATCATGACAATCGCACCATCCACGAGGTTCTCAATTTCCCTTGGGTCAAGGACGAGATACAAAGAAGCAGCGCACGTTACATGCAGAGGCTTCATAATCACCCGAACCGGTTGGCCAGCTCCCTGCTGGACAGCAGCGAGCAACCCAGAAGACTTAAAAGGACACACCCGCTGGACCTCCCCTTACTACTCTAATTTTTTTTTTTCTACCATATTAATATTTAAAAATATCTATACGTGAAGTTTACGTGATAAAATTTAATAGTTGTCCCTAATGGACAGTTTTAAATAAACATTACCCTGCTATTACAAAAAAAAAAAAAAAAAAAAAAATTTGGAACCGATTGGATTAATAGTTTTTGAGTAACCTCATGCGCCAGTCGTAAAAACACTGTTTCGAGAAAACGCGTTTAAAGTTTTGAGATGGCTCTCGCCGTCGCCTGAGGCTTCCACCATAAATCGGCTATATTTTTAAAAGTTTTTGAAATATTTACTTGAAATTTTCATGGAACATTTTTGAATAGTTACAAGTTCGAATTAAAGCATAGTATTGATTTATATGCTTGCCATTTTATGGCATTAAAATGCCCCTTCGGGACGGCCAAATAAATCTTCCCCAATTTCCTGGATGGAAGTAACTTAATACAAAAAAAAAAAAAAATGCCCCTCGTGGGTCAAATCTCATATTATGGGCTTCGTCTTGACCGCAGAAATTCATTTTAATTTGTCCTGGCGCGTCGAAAATGTTTCGGGCCGACTATTTTTTTGTTTGGTCAATTGACCCTCCATGTCACACCTATAAAAATAAATTGAAATATTTATTTTAACACCCCGAGAGCAGCTGTTTATTTTTTTTGATCCGGCAACACCATTAAAATCGATAACAAAAATTTTCGTCAACTCAGTACCCGCAAAATCCAGAAGGCAAAAATTTCTTCTTCTTTCCTTTTTTACACCGTTTTTTTTATATGGAGTTTGACAGCTGTCACTCGTTGGACAGCGGATTTTCGTCAACTCAGTACTATGCTTAAATTAAAAAAAAAAAATCGATTTTTTAAAACCGAGAATGGGGGGGGGGTCCCCTTAAAAACCCTTTACTTTTTAATTATTTAAATTAGGAAATCAAAAACGTATTAATGTAGTCTTTTTTATGCCACGATTTCTATTGTGGAATTAAACGTGGGATTTATTTTTTTCTGTTATTCTGTTCCATTTATTTTCTGTTATATAATTTCCTCTTGAGTATGTATAAGTTTTTGGTTTGCATACAAGCCAGACATTAGCTAAGTTGGCAGCACTGAACCAAAAATTAAATTTACTTTCGCAGAAAGTGTAAATGTGTTCTTATCCAACAGTATTGTCTCGTTAGACTTATATTGAAACGGTCACTTTTATCTTCCTTGTGTAATCGTTGATTTAGTATTTTACAAAGTACATTGGTTAAAACGTGTAAGTCGATATAGGTACGAATAAAAAAAAATTTGCGTGAAAAATATTCATATATTTTTTTCATATATTCATATATTTATTTTTACCCTTGAATGTTTAAGAAATTGTTTGCATGTTAAAATTTGTTTATTTTTTATAAATTAAAGCGTGTGTCGGACACCAAACACAAATTTAAAATAAATATGTACATACCTCTGTTCCTAAACATAACTAGTGTATGATGAACGATATTGCCAAAACTTTAAATATAGATGTTATAAAACATTTACCACAAAAATGGTGTACACGATCCGTTGATAACCATAACTACATATATGCACTTTTTTGTAAATGTTGTTTATGCGGTATGTGCATCTTATAACTACATACGTACGTTTCAATACTTTCGATTTAAATTTTAGGTTAGGTTCGTTGGATTGCTTTGCAAAAGAATCTGTACGCACCAGAATATTTAAAATATTGTAAAATCGTTTTGAACGAATGTTTTAAGAAACATTAAATTTTTCTACTCTTAAATTGGTTATAAACTATAAAAATAGTGTTTCAATATATAGTTATTAAACTTTTTACTGTATTCCCGATCGGTATGCTGATATCAAATAATATTAATGTTTTTTAATGATCCTTGAAATTAGCGTCAACATATAAAAGAAAATAAGAGGCTAAGGAAAATGACAGACTCGATGAAATTTGGTCCGGGATGGTTGCGTAATATGTCATCTGAGCCCGCAGGCTCTTCCAATGTTTACATTGTTAGTAGTGGAGGACAAAATAGCTCACATGTTGTGCAAAATATTAATGCATCATCAGCGGCGTCGCGTAATCTCTTCCCTGAATATCGATATGGTCGTGAGGAGATGCTGTCATTATTTGATCGGAATTGTTTGTTGCCACAAATACTTCCCTCTTTTAAAAAGCTTTTTATTGAGAAGGTTCAATATCCACTTGCGCTGACACCAAGCTCTGACGAGGATAATCTATCTTCTGCAGGGAACAACGTAAGTTCTTATAAATTTTGGTTTTCATAATGTTGCATAGTTTTTATTTTACAGTCCCGCCCAGGATGGCTGCAACGTTCTTCGGGCGGGTTTGGAACGGCCTCCCGTGGTAATGGACGAGGAGGGACAGTGGATCGGGGGCGGACGCGGGGAAAATCCTATCATTCTATATATCAGCGACCTGGGATTCCATATGATGAATGTTTGACACCTTTACCTACAAAGGTAAATTAGATAAAGTAAAATTTATATTTCGTAAAAATTTTTTTTTATAGGCTGAACGTAATTGGTGTGATCGTAACGGAACGGGTGAATCAGTAATGGGTAATTCCGCTGGTGGATTGGGGAGTTTGGATTGGAGTATTACACCAAGCTCAAGTCCGCGAAAAGAGTTTTCCAGCCATCGTAGTACGGAGAATTGGAGGCGAACACGTCAAGAGGACGGATCTGGGGATGGCCCTTCAACAAGCGGTAGCTTTAGCGGCTCGGATATTGCCGGGTGGCGAAGTAGTGCCGGAAGTACTGCTTTTAGTGGTTCTCATCGATGGGGTAAATATTCCCATTTTTGAAAAAATCATATTTAAAATTTTATAATCGAAAATATCATATAATCAATGATAAAAGTTATACCTGTATAGTCTAACAGGCGCGACACAGAAAATCAAAAGTGATTCGGTAAAATGTTAAGCTCCAATTCACTGAAACAGCTCTAAGACACTGCACTCATAGAATCTAAAAGTGCCGTGCGTATAAATTTATTTAGGACCTAATTAAATTTTATAGGTTGCGGGAGCAAAGGAAAACCCGGGTACCGGGTGTAAAAAACCGAAAAACCCTGGCATCACCGTAAATCTAAATCACTTTCAAAACTAGTTATTTGGCTTACAGTATAAAAGGGAAGTGATTTAACTAGTGTTTTAAAAAAAATCCTCCCTTTTTTCCAATAAGGTTCAAGGAATATGTTATTTTTAACGCAGTTTAGTCACAAATTCAACACTCCTTACGGATCAGCGGCAAATACCGATTAGGCAATTCCTAGCGCTTTGCAAAGTTTTTTGGAACTACGTATTCACCTTCGACCATTCCATTCAGGCTCAGCCTTACATTTACAACCAAGCAGCCAATTGTATGTTTTGCTTATCTTTTTCTAAAAGTGCTTTATTATCAGATCTTTTTAAAGCCGTTTATTCGCCAGGCCACGATGGAATACCAGGGTGTGTTCTAAAAAACTGAGCCGAAGCAATTTCCCCTCATGTGGAAGGATTGTTACATTATTGCTCTGTATGAAAAACGGAAAAATGAGTGGCTATTGAAAAGCTTTTTGGAAATAGAATTACTAAAATTAATTATTTGCAACATAATTTCTCCTCGCCAGCATGGATTTGTTCAGCGCAGCTCCACGACCCCATCTTGTTAGAGATAGCTTCTTTTGTCATGGATTACAAACCGGGGCTTAAAAACAGATGTCCTTTAGACTGACTTAAGGAGTTATATACAGTTGTACCGCACAAAAAAATGGAATTTTATCGATTTTTTTCGACACCATGGAAAATGTTTATTTAAAATGTTTTATCGACGTTGTTTAGTACATGTTTCTGGGTACTTATTTAAATTTTTTTTAAAAAAAGGGTTAAATAATAAAAATGTTATAGCCGAATTCCAAGATCGTCTTTTTTCGATGGTGTCTTGCTGTGGACATCATAACCCGAGAACGGTTCATCCGAAGTCCAAAATTCAAAAAAATTTAGTTAGTATATTGTATTGCCTAGTCCGTAAACGAATGATTTGTACAAAATTTGTACAAAATACCGACGGTTTTAACAAAAAATGTACTTTTTCAAGGTATAAGATTCTCGATTTTTATGCTCTAAAAAATGAGTTTAAAAAAAATTTAATCAATCACAACTGTATATAACCCCTTAAATAAGTCATTTTACTGTGTTCCCATTTTCTTTTTTTAAGTCAACTCAGTCTTTTGGGTTTCCCGTCTGATTTTTATACCCTTGCAGAGGGTATTATAATTTTTTCCAAAAGTGTGCAACGCAGTGAAGGAGACATCTCCATCTCTGTTTCTACGCGAACTAGTCTCTCAGTTTTAAAGCTATCGTCTTGAAACTTTGCACACACCCTTCTTTTCTTTGCACGCAGTATATAAGTCGGAACAGCGCGGATCGGCCGACTGTATCCTATAGCTGCCATATAACTGATTGATCGGAAATGGTATAACTTTGGTGTTTTTAAAGTTAGAGAGTTCAAATTTTAGGTGAGAGCTAAAAAAAAGAGAGCTATTTTTGGTAATATAATACGACATGCCAAATTTCGTAAGGATCGGCCGACTATATCCTATAGCTGCCATATAACTGTGAACGATCGAAATGGTACTTGGTAGAAGTATCAACTTTCATATTTTTGAAGATAGAAGTTTGGGACTTTTTTTAGATTTTGTATTGTAAAATATTGGATTATATTTTCCTATTCCCATAAGGATCGGCCAACTATATCCAATATTTGCGATATATATCCGGTTTTAACTGCAAGGGTATATAAACTTCGGCTCTGCCCGAAGTTAGCTTTCCTTTCTTGTTTTTTTTCAAATTGAAAAAATATCCTTATTCTTAATTATTATTATAAAAATTGAAAAAAAGAGTTATATTTCAATTTTTGTCATAAAAATCAACAAATAATTTTTATTTTATAATTTTTATTTTAAAAATTATAACAATTACGGTCCCTGGTTAAGTGTAATTTCTTGTGCTTGAATTTGCGGTTTTCCCGCTTTGAATTTGAAGACAACCTTCTTTCGCAGCTACATCTCTGGCACGATACCTGTTCTATTTTTCCTATTACGTAGGAGGTATTTGTACTGACTCGAGTCCCCCTAACTGCGTTTCCAGGATTTTTTTCTGCTGAGAACACCATGGGAAATGTGCGTTTGTGAGGGCCTTTAGGGTTTCCTTGCTGGACGTGATCCAACTACCATCATAGGTTTTAATGTACCCTGCGTTAAGTGCAGTGGTACCGAGGACTTTAGTTGAGCTATACTCGCGCCCTCACAGTTCACACGATGCACAGACGATCCGCTGGTATGCAAGAGCGACCAAAAATGCTATAACAATGCTATTTTATAACAAAAATATAATGCTATTTTATAACAAAAATATAAATTTAACTAAATAATTTAACAAAAATATAATAAAACCTGTCTGGTGTGTAAGCTTCAACTGTACTCACGTACGATCGCAAGGCTGTCAGTGACACTTTTTTTCGCACATTTGTGTAAACCGAACCCTCATAAAGAGATCGATAAGAGAAACCGGCGCCGCTATGTCGCCACGACCGAAGAAAAAAATGCGAGTATCAAAGTCTGGGCAGCTGCCCAATAACAGCAACTATAACTTACTGCTCCAAACTGTTAAAGATAGAGAAGATGATAACGGAGACAATGGTACAGAACACATTGTTGAAAAATCAAAAAATTATGTACCTCCAATGAATTTTTTATAGCAGAGGTGGGCACGGCCCTATCTCGGGGGCATAGGAAATGCCACACACACACAGTATAAATGTGTGAAAGGTCATGCTCACAGCCTACTTTCTGCTATTCGTTACTAACACTAATGCGGTGAAATCATATCAATGTATTGGGGTGCCGACCACTGCTCTATAGAGAAAATTCAAATAATTTGCATTTCGTACAACGAAAGTGGACGCAAAAATTTCTTGCGACAGGGTCCAGCAGGTTCAAATTTTAGGTGAGAGCTATTTTTGGTAAAATAATACGACATGCCAAATTTCGTAAGGATCGGCCGACTATATCCTATAGCTGCCATATAACTGTGAACGATCGGAAATGACCCATCTTTGACCCAACTCGTGTTTTTGAAGATAGAAAGCTGGAACTTGGTACAGATTATATATTTGGTCAGTTGATCCGACCTACCAAATTTCATTAGGATCGGCCGACTATGTCCTATAGCTGCCATATAACTGAACGATCGAAATGGTACTTGGTAGAAGTATCAACTTTCATATTTTTGAAGATAGAAGTTTGGGACTTTTTTTAGATTTTGTATTGTAAAATATTGGATTATATTTTCCTATTCCCATAAGGATCGGCCAACTATATCCAATATTTGCGATATATATCCGGTTTTAACTGCAAGGGTATATAAACTTCGGCTCTGCCCGAAGTTAGCTTTCCTTTCTTGTTTTTTTTTTCAAATTGAAAAAATATCCTTATTCTTAATTATTATTATAAAAATTGAAAAAAAGAGTTATATTTCAATTTTTGTCATAAAAATCAACAAATAATTTTTATTTTATAATTTTTATTTTAAAAATTATAACAATTACGGTCCCTGGTTAAGTGTAATTTCTTGTGCTTGAATTTGCGGTTTTCCCGCTTTGAATTTGAAGACAACCTTCTTTCGCAGCTACATCTCTGGCACGATACCTGTTCTATTTTTCCTATTACGTAGGAGGTATTTGTACTGACTCGAGTCCCCTAACTGCGTTTCCAGGATTTTTTTCTGCTGAGAACACCATGGGAAATGTGCGTTTGTGAGGGCCTTTAGGGTTTCCTTGCTGGACGTGATCCAACTACCATCATAGGTTTTAATGTACCCTGCGTTAAGTGCAGTGGTACCGAGGACTTTAGTTGAGCTATACTCGCGCCCTCACAGTTCACACGATGCACAGACGATCCGCTGGTATGCAAGAGCGACCAAAAATGCTATAACAATGCTATTTTATAACAAAAATATAATGCTATTTTATAACAAAAATATAAATTTAACTAAATAATTTAACAAAAATATAATAAAACCTGTCTGGTGTGTAAGCTTCAACTGTACTCACGTACGATCGCAAGGCTGTCAGTGACACTTTTTTTCGCACATTTGTGTAAACCGAACCCTCATAAAGAGATCGATAAGAGAAACCGGCGCCGCTATGTCGCCACGACCGAAGAAAAAAATGCGAGTATCAAAGTCTGGGCAGCTGCCCAATAACAGCAACTATAACTTACTGCTCCAAACTGTTAAAGATAGAGAAGATGTTAACGGAGACAATGGTACAGAACACATTGTTGAAAAATCAAAAAATTATGTACCTCCAATGAATTTTTTATAGCAGAGGTCGGCACGGCCCTATCTCGGGGGCATAGGAAATGCCACACACACACAGTATAAATGTGTGAAAGGTCATGCTCACAGCCTACTTTCTGCTATTCGTTACTAACACTAATGCGGTGAAATCATATCAATGTATTGGGGTGCCGACCACTGCTCTATAGAGAAAATTCAAATAATTTGCATTTCGTACAACGAAAGTGGACGCAAAAATTTCTTGCGACAGGGTCCAGCAGGTTCAAATATTAGGTGAGAGCTATTTTTGGTAAAATAATACGACATGCCAAATTTCGTAAGGATCGGCCGACTATATCCTATAGCTGCCATATAACTGTGAACGATCGGAAATGACCCATCTTTGACCCAACTCGTGTTTTTGAAGATAGAAAGCTGGAACTTGGTACAGATTATATATTTGGT